AATTTGGGAAACACCACCATGAACCTGCGACGGGCTTCCTCACTGCAGGTTTCTCAGGTCCTTCCTGAGCCATTTGCTAAGGGCAGCTGTCTACGTACCCGGCCGCCAGGCCTGTTTAATGGCCATGTTCTTTTCAGCGTCTTTTCTTTCTTTCTTTTAAGTTTATTTATTTATTTTGAGAGACAAAGAGAGAGAGCGTGGGCAGGTGAGGGGCAGAGAGAGAGGGAGACAGAATCCCAAGCAGGCTCCATGCTGCCAGCACAGAACCTGATGACATGGGGCTCAAACCCACGAACCGTGAGATCAGGACCTGAGTGGAAACCAAGAGTCAGCTGCTTAACTTACTGAGCCACCCAGGCACCCCTCAATCGTCTTTTCATCTCATGAGATTAGAGGGCTATGGAACTTACTTTGGGATATGCCGAAATTGTGGAAAATTTCCCCCTCGTCCATGTATGAAAGCTAGAGGACATGAGGGGGAGACGGGGGGCAAATAAGTTGAAAGGATTTGGAGGATGCTCTAACCTTTATTTTATTTTTTAAATGGTGTTTTTATATGTATGTATGTATTTATGAGAAAGAGTGAATGAGCAGAGGGGAGAGGCACAGGGAGAGAGAGAGAATCTTAAATAGGCTCCCGGCTCAGTGCAGAGCCCAATATGGGGCTCAATCCCATGACCCTGGGATCATGACCTGAGCTGAAATCAAAGAGCCAGATTCTCAACAGATTGAGCCACCCAGGTACCCCTCTAACCTTTATTTTATTTTTTAAAAAATGTTTATTTATTTATTATTTTGAGAGAGAAACAGACACAGAGAGAGAGAGAAAACAAGCAGGAGAGGGGCGGAGAGGGAGGGAGGGAGACAGAGGATCCAAAGCAGGCTCTGTGAGCTGTCAGCACAGAGCCCGATGTGGGGCTTGAACTCATGAACCATAAGATCATGACCTGAGCTGAAATCAAGAGCTAGAATCTCAAGCGAACAAGCCACCCAGGTGCCCCTCCAACCTTTGCTTTAAAGCCGAGGCTTTGGGACACCTGGCCAGCTCAGTCAGCGGAGCATGTGATGCTTGATTTCAGGGCCATGAGTTCGAGGCCCACACTGGGTGTAGAGATGACCTTAAAAATAAATTAGTTTTTAAGAAGCCGAGACTTTATTCCCTATTTTATGTGCACCCACTCATAGTCACCCTGGAGAATAAACACTGCTGTCGTCTTCATGTTTCAGGGTAAACAGAGGCACAGAGAGGCAGCCTTTCCCCAAGATTCACAGCTTGTAAGTGGGGTTTGAATTCAGGCTGCCTGATGAGGGGCAACGCATATAACCACCACACATCCCGCAGGTGGCTGATCTCTGGTGCTCTTGGGAGAGTCTGGCTTCCATTTCACAGGACGGCAGTCTTCCAGCTCTGCGTCTAGGGCCTGGGGACACCCAGTAGGTGAACCCTGCTGTCCACAGCTTGCCTACCGGCAGTCTGGCCCCACCAAGAGGCCCCGTTATGGCCTCATTTTATCCGCACCCCGGTTTTCTCCATTCTTACAGGAGAGGCTCAGAGGGGAGCCCAGACTCAGAGAGGGGAAGTAATTGTCCCCATCACACAGCCAGGAGATGGTGAGGCCAGGATTCAAACCCAGGCAGTTGGATTCCAGAGCTGGCTGTTCAGGATTCAGGTGCTTCTTGGTGACGAAGCGATGGCTTTCTGGGGCCAGGGCAGGGGCACAGCTTCAGGGCCACAGCCCGCCACAGCCCTTCCTCCTCTGACTGGCCATGGCCCCTACCGATGCCCTACAGTCCCCCCTCTGGACACATATGTTCCCCAGTTCCATGCTAATTTCGCCAGGCCTCCCTTCCCAGCCTTCCACAGGCCAACAGTCAGTAGTATAAACACAGGCAGATAGGTCACTGCCACCAAGAAGCAGTTGCCACGGAAGCTTCTCAGCCACCCAGGGCTTTATCTCCACCCCCTGGAGCAGGGCCTTGGCCATTTCCTCCTTCTGGGGTGCAGACTTTTTGTTCTGGGTGGTTTCTCTGCCCTTTGTTTTACCGATTCCTGGAGATGGACTTGTTTGTCGTCTGTGTCCACCCCCAGATGCTCATTGGACACCTGCCGTGGGCCTGGCCCAGCTGGGCTGGCTTCTGTAGCAGCTGTGCTGGCCCTCCCTTGCCCAGAGCAGACGCAGGACCCCAGGATGCTTCCGGATCTCCTGGGAGGCAGGGGTGCATGACTGCGTGAGCAGGATCTATTGCTTGATGGGAGAACACGACGTGGGTTCAAATCCTACTTTAGTAATTTGATAATAAAGACACAAATGACCCATTTTTTAAAAATGGGCAAAGGATCTGAGTAGACATTTCTCTCAGGAAGATACATAAAGAGCCAATAAGCACACAAAAGATGCTAAACACTATTAGCCGTCGGGGAAACGCAAATCAAAGCCACATGGAATATCGCGTCCTACACTTTAGGATGGCTCTAATCAGAAAGACAGGTAAAAACAAGCGTTGGCGAGGATGCAGAGAAAGTGTGACCCTTGTGTACCGCTGGTGGGAATGTAACATGGTGCAGATGTTCTGGAAAACATCCTCAGAAGATGAACCATAGCCTTACCCTGTGCCCCAGCAATTCCACTCCTAGGTGGATTCCCCAAGGGACTTGAAAACACATGTCCCCACACACAAATGACATAAATGTTAGTAGGAGCATTATTCATAATAGTCAGAAAAGTAGCAATAACCTGAACGTCTTTCAACCGATGAATTGAGAGATATAACATGGGATATTATTCAGCCATTAAAGGGAAGGAAGTACCGACACACGCATAGCACGGGTGGACCTTGAAGATGTGCTAAGTGAAGGAAGCCAGACACAGACACCACACATTGTATGAATCCCCTTCTATGAAAGGTCCAGAGGAGACACATCTGGAGAGAGACAAAAAGTGGTTGCTTCGGGCTGGGAGCAGAGGTTTGGGAAATGGGGAGTGACTGCTAATGAGTAGGGTTTTGTAGGGGGAATGATGACGATATTAGCAAATTGTGGGATTGGCTGCACAGCTTTGTGAATGCGCCAGAAACCATTGAATTGGGCTCTAGATGAGTGAATTGTGTGATATGTGAATTACATCTGCGTAAATCTGCTATACAAAGTTAGGAAATACAGGGGCACCTGAGTGGCTCAGTCGGTTAAGCATCAGACTTTGGCTCAGGTCATGATCTCACGGTTTGTGGGTTCGAGCCCCGCATTGGGCTCTGTGTTGACAGCTCAGAGCCTAGAGCCTGTTTTGGATTCTGTGACTCCCTCTCTCTCTGACCCTCCCCTGCTCACATTGTCTCTCTCTCTCAGAAATAAATAAAACATTAAAAAAAATTTTTTTAAGTTAGGAAATACAGATAAGCAAAAGAAAGAGAATGTTAAGATCCATAATCCTACCACCTAGAGACAGTCTCCGTTACATTTTTTTATTTTTCCCTGTTACATTTTATTTTAATTTAATTTAATTCTATTCTATTCTATTCTATTCTATTCTATTCTATTAATTTTAAGAGAGAGAGGAGAGGGAATCCCATTGTCAGTGTGGAGCTAGGCGTGGGGCTCGAACTCATGATCACAATCAAGACCTGAGCCAAAATCAAGAGTCTGATGCTCAACCAACCAAGCCACCCAAGTTCCCTTCCCCATTACAGTTCAATGATACCCTCCCCAATTAGATTCTATTGCCCTCTGTAGAGCTGCTTCATTTAATAATACATGGTGAACATGTCAATACACCTACCTAGACAGAAAAGCGAATCCTGCTCCCTCCACTCACTGGCTGTGGGCCTTGGGTAAGCCAACCTCAGCTCAGACACTTGGTCTCTCCATCTGTAAGGTGGGGTAGCCCAAGGACCCCCCCTTCCCTCCCCAGAGGAAGCAGTGAGGATGGAAGGAAGGAGGTGGCACACATCAGGCATGTGATGCAGACACGGGGCCCAAGGGAAACACTCTGAAGGTGAAGGTCCCATTTAGATTCCATCCGCGCCTGGCTCAGCCCTCCCGCCAGGCTCTGCTCCTTTCTGTGCTGTTCTGTATGTTTCCAACACATTGTGGTTTAAAGTGTCCATGGTTTAAAAGTAGGGAGGGGGGTCGGCGACTGACCCTCGAGGTTGTTGGGACCCTCAATGGAAAGAAACCACCCTTCTCAAGGGCATAGGCATAGTGCCTGGCATAGGCTCGTGTTGTCTCCTCACAATATTAGCAACCCCATATCACAGATGGAGAAACTGAGGCTCAGAGAGGTGCTGCCGCCCGCCCTTTGAAAACACTTGAGGGTGGAGCTAGGGGTCCTGTCCAGGTTTGCCAGCTTGAAAGTCAGTGTCCTTGCTGCTTTTCTGTCCTCCAAGGAAGGGACAACTTTGAAAAGGCTCCAATCCTGTCCGAATGAGGGATTGGGTTATTATCTCCCAGACCTGGAGAGGGGGCAGCCCCAGGGGGAAGTCACTGGTCCTAGACTTCAAACAGCAAAGATGTGCTCAAGCGTGCCGACTTGCCCTGAGCCCTCTGCTGGGCTGTGGGGACACGGTAGGGGCCTGGCTGCGGTGTCTGCTCAAATGCACCCTGGCCCCAGGGTGAGCCAGGGCCCCACCTCCTGGGTAGGGGTGAGGGGCACAGGCTCTGCAGCCAGACAGTTGGGGTTGGAACCCCCCGCCCCCGCCTCCGCTGGTGACGTGGGCAGTTACCCTGCGGTCTGAACTTGATTTTCCTGTAACAGGTGGGTGTTAGCATTGAATGCGTTAGAGAGCCTGCAGTCACTCCTCGTAGCTCCCAACATGGGATGGGCTTTCGTATCACCGGCGGCGTGAGTCAGGCGCACAGATGCAGGGGGCCCAGGGAGAGGGGAGAGGGAGGGGGCTGCCACCCATGCTGGCAGGTTGCACCCTCCTCTCCAGACCCAGCGGATGGGTGGCCAGCCCGTGTGGAGGCTTGGACACCAATGCTCACAGCTTCCCTACCTGTGTACTAGGAGAGAAGAGGAAGGGGACACTGCCACGAAGAAGTCTGCCCCCATCTCCCCAGCCAGGCTGGGATCTCCCCCCGTCCCGGGTAGTTGCTCTGCACCCCTTCAGCATGGACCCCAACCAGCCCGGCTTGGTCTCTGTACCCCACCCCTGCTTCCTGTCCATCTCCCCTTGGCCCCGCTCAGCACCAACTCCAGGACAGCCACCGACTGAGACCCATGCTGCCTTTGGAGTCCTGTGGACCCTTCTGTGAAGCCCAGCCCTGCCTCAGAGCAGCTCCGTGACCTCAGTAAGAGGCTCCACCTCTCTGAGCCTCCTTCCTTCCCTATAGTAGCAGGGTTAGCAGCTGGCCCCAAAGTCTGATTCTGACCCCCCTCGCCCACTTACTGCTGTGGCCCCCTGAAAAAGTAACTCAGCCTCCCTAGACTCAGTCTCCTCATCTGTAAAATGGGGACCGCAACTGCACCTCAGTGATTTGAGAATTCACTGAGAAAATACACAAACAATGCTCAGAGCAGTGAGTGGGACATAGCAAACGTTCCAGGTGTTTTGGCCACGGTTATTATGATCCTGGCCTCTTAGGACGGCTGCAGTGTGCAAGGTCCTGCCCCAGGGACCCCAGCCCCAAATGCCAGGTTGGCAGCCCCACATACAGCCTGGTCTCTGTCCCTCCCACCACCAGCCCGTTGGACTGGGCACTCTGCTTTGCATGCCTCCCCTCCACCCATCATGGACACGGTGTGTGCTGATGTCTGTTGAGCAAACGAAACAAAAGACGGAATGCATAAAAAGAAGGCCGAGCGGGTGAAATGCAGGGTCTGCTCGTTGGGTCACCATTCATTCATTTATTCAGCTACGACCTGCTGAGCACCTGCTGTTGGAGGCGCCGGAGATCCAGCAGCAAACACAACAGGGAAAACGGCTGCCAGGGTAGAGGGGACACTCTCCTAGGGGAGCCAGACCCCAAAGGAAATGAACAGTGACACAGAGAGAGTGCTGGTTCATGATAAATGCCAGAAAAACACGTCCAGCAGGGAGAGGGAGGGGGGTACTGGAGAGGCTGTCAGCCAGGGAGGCCCCGCAGAGAAGGGGCTATCTGAGCAAAGATTTAAAGGAGGTGGGGCCGGGCGCCTGGGCGGCTCCTACGATTAAGCTTCCAACTTAGGTTTATGGGTTCGAGCCCCATGTCAGGCTCTGTGCTGACAGCTAGGAGTCTGGAACCTGCTTCAGATTCTGTGTCTCCCTCCCTCTCTCTGCCCCTCCCCCACCCTCTCCCTCCCTGTCTCTCTCTCAAAAATAAACATTAAAATTAAAAAAATAAATAAAATAAAAAACAAAGGAGGTGGGGCTATTTGTTCGTTCATTCATTCACTCCTTCGTTCCTTCCTTCTTTCCTCCAGGCAGTCAGCCGGTGACAGCAAACCCCTCCTCGGGGCTGCTGTGCGGCCTTAGCGGGCCGGGTGGGGCGAGGCAGAAGCAGAACCTAGAGCGGCCAGTTGTGGGGTCCACCCTGGACTGAGGTGGCCTCGAGACACAGGACTTTGAGTGCCAACCCGGAAAGTCCCGGACAAACCAGGACAAGTGGCTGCCCTCACAGAGACTGCCCTCGATGCCAGGGGCCCAGGAAAGTTGGCAAAGGCCTCCACTTGCTTCCCTGAGGATGTGACCCTTGCGAGGGACCGGGAGGGGAGAGGCCTCGTGCCCTTGCCTAGTGAGCAAGGATGACAGAGGCCCCAAGTCACCAGTATCAGAGCCTGCAGGGGGGTGTGGGTACAGGGACAGCCTTGTCTTCTGGGGGTCGGCGTGCGATGGGACAGGGCTGCGTGACAGGGCCTTGGGAGTCTGTGCGGGGGTGGCCGCGTTGACTGTGGGCAGCAGGCCTCCAGGCAGGTGGGTACCTGCGTTTGCATTTTAGAAAGAGCCGTGCTTTGCTCTGCAAGTTTTCTCCCCGAGACAGAGGACAGAGAGAGAACAAGCCATGTCCTCTTCTCCTTCATTCCAGTGAGCGTTGAGCACCTTCCAAGTCCCCAGCTCTGGCCAAGATGTCTGCACTGGGTCAGCAAGACAGACAGAATTTCAAAGCTAATAGTGGAGACTCTAACTGAAGGGTATAGGGGTGTTTGTTGCATTATTTTCTGTAGGTTTAGACATGTTCAAAAAATGTCGTGGTGAAGAATAAATAAAAATAAGTCCTTGGCCCCATAGAGAGCACCTGGGGAGGGTATAGATGAGGCAGGGTCCTTTCCTCTAGCAGCCTAGGCTCTGATGCGGGGTCCGGGCACATAAACCCACCCTTCCATGGGGGGGGGGGGTGTGCTCTGTGTGTGTGAAGTCCTCAGAGCAAGGACCCTGAGGCAGGCCTGGGAGGCTGGGGGTGGGGAGGGAGTGGGGGGATTGCAGGATGGAGAGGGAAAGGGAAGGGCACTCAGATGGAGGAACAGCAGAGACAAAAGCTCAGAGACTTGAGGCACAGACTTGAGGCAACAGGTCGTCTGTGTGGCTCAGTGAGAGAGACTGGAAAGGGAAGTTGTGGCCTCACGGACCTTGTCTCCTTGACTCGGTCTCTGAAAATAAAAGTGAGACTGGCCCACTGTTGCGAAATCAGAGAACACAGGAAATTATTTTAAAAAAGGAAATACAACCCATAGGTTAGCCCATCACCAGAGATAACCACTGTGCAGTGTTCGATGCATTTCTTCCTAATATCTTTATATATCTATATATCCATATATCTCAACTTAGAATAATAAAATAGTTTGCATCTGCTGTTTCTGTCTTTTTTTAAAAATTAAAAAATTTTTTTAATGTTTTATTTATTTCTGAGAGAGAGAGAGGCAGTGTGAGCAGGGAGGGTCCGAGAGAGAGGGAGATACAGAATCCAAAGCAGGCTCCGGGCTCTGAGCTGTCAGCACAGAGCCCGTAGCGGGGCTTAAACCCACAAACCATGAGATCATGACCTGAGCCAAAGTCAGATGCTTAACCAACTGAGCCATCCAGGCGCCCCAAAGATTTTAAATTTTTTTAATTTTCATTTTTTTAATTTGAGAGAGAGCACACAAAGTGGGTGAGGGGCAGAGAGAGAGAGGGAATCCCAAGCAGGCTCCGGGCTCAGCACAGAGCCCAACGCGGGGCTCAATCCCACGACCCTGAGATCATGACCTGAGTCAAAACCAAGAGCCAGATACTCAACCGACTGAGCCACCCAGGTGCGCCTTAAGGACTTTAAGTACTCTCTATACCCAACCTGGGGTTCAAACGCACAACCCTGAGGTCAAGAGTCGTATGCTCTGCCAAAATCCAAGTGCCCCTGAATTTTGCTGTTTTTTACTTAACAACATTACGTCAGATGCATTTCCTAGCGCCGTTAAATAATCTCTGCTAACCTGATTTCTAAGCCATTCGGATGACTCTGGCCAGTGGTGGATTCTTGGCTAAAGTGGTGATTTCTCATGGCTGGGCACCGAGGCTGTTTGCACTTGTTTGCTGTAACGAAGAACACCATGGTAAACAGCGTCCACACATACATAATTCCATGTCCGCATCGCTGATTTTTTTTCTTCTGATCAGTTCCTAGACATGAGATTCTTGGAAACCCTGCTCAGCGCAGAGCCAGCTGGGTAACCAGGAGAGGGGGTGGGGCTCCCAAGGCCACATGTTCCCACCTGAGGACAGCCTGAGCCGCAGCTGTAAGGAACAACCTGCACTTTCTGAACGCCTCTTGGTCTCTCCTACCTCCAGGCCGGTTTGTCTGGGTGTTACAACGCTCCCCCCGCCCCAAGCTTTTCCCCCTTCTCTCTGTCTTGCTAACTCTTCCTCATCTTTCCAGACTCTAGCATAAGCTTCTCCAGGGAGCTTTCCCAGAGCCCGCAGGCTGGGAGCTCCCTGCCACCACTCCCTCTGCGGCTGTGCCCGGGCCACCTCCACCCAGTGCTTTCTCGCTGGGTTACAAGTGCTGTTTCTTTCTCTGGTTTTCCTTGTCCCCTGAGGACAAGGCCCAGGCTCGATTCATTTCTGAATTTCCAGTACCGGGGGGGTTGAGCTGGCTCATTTCAGTTTCAGTAAATGTTTGTTGAGCAAAGGAATGGAGAGTTGGACAAATGAATTGAACAAATGAAACAAAGTCCATGGGGGAGGCTGAAGCTCAGACATTGGACTTCAGACGAGCCTCCAGTCCAGGGAGACAGAGTGGGGTGCAGAGTGGGGCCCCTGAGCCGGGAGCAGGGGCAGGGAAGGGCAGACTCTTGAGAAAGGAAGCAGGGGCCTGGGAGTGCAGGGCAGCAAAGGAGGGAGTGAACTAGGGACTGATCTGAGGAGTCAGAGGCAGGGGACACTAATGCAGGGTAATGTGGACAAGAACATTCCAGAAGAGGGAAGAGTTTCATGGGCTCTGGGGCCTCCATATGGATTCAAATCCTGACTTTGATGCTTACAAGCTGTGTGACTCTGAGTCAGGGACTTAGCTTCTCTGTGCCTCAGTTTTTCCATCTAAAAAAATGTGAATAACAAATATTAGTACTTCATTCATTCATTCATTCATTCATTTTCTTTCTCGCTTAACAAACACCCGTTGAGTGTTCTGGGCCCAGGATCAGAGCTGGGATGGAGCTGACCATCACGGTCACACACCCAAGCAAGGCCCGCAGCCGAGATGGAGCCCAGGTCTGGCGGCCACAGGTCACGTTCCTGATGCCCTGTGGTCTCTCGCCCAGGCCGTGATGACACTGGAAGAGGTGCTGACACGGAGGAAAGCCTTACTGAGCAGCAGATGCTGCCACCCGTCCTGAGGTGTCATCGTCATCATCAAGTCGTCTGTGCTGACCAGCCATGAGGTCTTGGAGAATGTCCCTACCCCCTCGGAGCCTCAGTTTCCTTTAGGGTGAACAACCGTCTTGGGTTGCCGAGGCTGAGGATTTCCCCAGGACGTGGGGCTCCCCGAGCTGAAGCTAGGACAGTCCCAGGCGAATGGGGATGATCAGCCACCCGAGTTCCCTCATCTGTGACACGGGGAACCGCCTGCCTCCCGGGGCTGTGGTGCACAACAGAAGCGAGCACAGGGGAACAGCAGAAGACCATGGGAGCAGAATTCTAGATCGATTACATGAATATTAAAGACTTCCATGTGCCATGGAAATCCAGTCATGAAAAAGAATGAGGCAGTTCGCGTGTACTGCAATGGAAGGAGCTCGAAGATACATATTTTTAGTGAAAAGGGCAAGGTTCAGAATGTTTCGACCTCTCACTAGTGTCAGAGGAGGGGGGCGGCTGGACACACGTGCATGGATTCCCTGGGGAGGCAGCTGGGTGGCTGGGGCGAGGAGGTGGGGAAAAGATCTGCATTTCACTATATATTCTCTTGCATTGTTGGAATTCTTTAAACCTTTTGTTGTCATCATCAGGTTGAAAACCCTCCTCAACTTCTGTGTGTCCAAAACAAAAACAAAAACCCAAAATTAAAAAAGAGTGGGGGCGCCTGGGTGGCTTAGTCAGTTGAGCGTCCGACTTTCGCTTAGGTCATGATCTCGCGGTTCGTGGGTTCGAGCCCCGCATCGGGCTCTGTGCTGACTGCCAGCTCGGAGGCTGGAGCCTATTTCAGAGTCTGTATCTCCCTCTCTCTCTGACCCTCCCCTGCTCACGCTGTCTCTCTCTCTCCTAGAAATGAATAAAAATATTTGAAAAACAAAAACAAAAACAAAAAAGAGTGATTCTAAACAATTAAAAGGCCAAAGGTACACGACAGGAAAAGCGCCTAGCTCAGGGTCCAGCACCCAGGAAGTGCATGAATGGCTTTCTCCCCTCTCCCACCCATGGCCTCGTTGGCCGCGGGTCTGGGTGAGCAAGGGGCACAGTGTTCATCCGGAAACACATGTGTGGGCTCCATGAGGCATCCTGCCTTCGGGCCTGGGGCTCCCTGGACCCTCACCCACTTCTGTGCCTGCGTTTCCAAGGTGGCCATCTGCCATGTTCTGGGGACTCTCCCTGCATCTGGGGGTGGGGGCAGGCCCATCTTGCAGGGTGAACTGCTCAGCTTTCCCGTGCTTCCAGACTTCCCAGACCAGGAAACCTGCATGGGCTGCTCAGGCACCAAAGCCAGTTCTCTCTACTTCTGGCCTTGGGGAGAAAGAGTCTCAGCTGGTTTAGGAAGGGGCTCCAGGCTCAGCCTGAGAC